TTTGTTTCCCTTCCCTTATGTTCATCTGTTTTGTCTCTTAAAGTCCTCATAGGAGTGAAGTCATATGATTTCTGTCTTTCTCTGACTAATTTCACTTAGCATAATACCCTCCAGTTCCATCCACGTAGTTGCAAATGGCAAGATTTCATTCTTTTTGATTGCCGAGTCATACTCCATTGTATATATATACCACATCTTCTTTATCCATTCATCCATCGATGGACATTTGGGCTCTTTCCATACTTTGGCTATTGTGGATAGTGCTGCTATAAACATGGGGGTGCATGTGTCCCTTTGAAACAGCACACCTGTATCCCGTGGAGAAATGCCTAGGAGTGCCATTGCTGGGTCGCAGGGTAGTTCTATTTTTAGTTTTTTTGAGGAACCTCCATATTATTTTCCAGAGTGGTTGCACCAGCTTGCATCCCCACAGAGCTAAATTCTAAGCAGTGTCTCTAACTAGGTCTGCTGTCTTTAAATTTGATACTCTCTCAGGGTTTTCTCTGCAGAGCAGTGTTTGGACCAGATCTTCTCTGGGGACCCCTGCCTACCCTAACAGCCTGTGTTTCTGTGGTTTTTGGCACTTGTAGCCAGTCAGGGTTTACATTAGTTCATCAACATGGGTCCAGCTTCACCAACTCTTACTTTTGTGCCTATTATGTGCAGGGTGCCACATGAGCGGCTGGGGGAGTGGAGACATTGAGAGTAGTCTCTCTGTTCCCCAGAGCTGTTTATAGGCTGGATGGCTGCGTTCTAGGGCCTTCGTAAGTGAGTTGTCAGTGTGGATGGAGGGGCTTCTGAGCACCAGGTGTGTGTCGTCTCACGCCTGCGGTCTTTGGAACAATCAGATTCTTTCCTGAGTTACCTCCAAGTTCTGTGCAACTCGGAATTCTCCCTTTGTTAGAGGAACCAGGGCGCTGTTTGTAGGGTGAGCATGATTGAACTCCATGGTGCTTGCTTCAGATGTTAGGATTAGGCCCCAAACATGGATAGGCAGTGGCCTTTTCATTTATTCACAACTTGCTGGGACCTGTTTTATTGGCCTTATTTCACCTCTTGCTACGTGCAGTTCAGTTTTTTTTTTTTTTTTTTTTTTTTTTTTTTTTAATTTGTCTTAAATTGATCTGTGGTGAGGCTTGCTCATTGTGAAATCCTTCATTCACTTTGGATTCATAGATACTGATCACAACCTTTGTACCTCTTGCTCTGTCCTTGCCACTCAACCCTTCCCTCCAAGAGGACAGGATGACTCAGGACATGACAGGGGTTGGCTTCCCGTTCTCTTGGCCCAGTTTCAGTATCTGCAGGTCAGCGTTCCTCCAGTGGATTTGGCTCTGTGGGTAGGGTAGGATCCTCCCTCACAAGTCTCTGAAGCAGAAGATATCTCTGGAGTTACCCAGGGAGGGGCCCGAGCCTAGAAAACTGCCTTTCAGAAGGTGGGAGGGTCAAAACCTTTTGAAGGCCAAGCACAGCGTTTGACATCTATTAGGTGATAGGTGTCGAGCGGCCGAATGAAGGAGGCCAAGATGGCGGAGGGCATGGACAGGCCTGGGACCCAGTGGGAGAGAGTTAGGCCTTGGAGTCCACAATAGAGTCTTCTGTTCCTAGATATCCATAGGCCCAGAGAGCAGCTGGAACAGTCTGTTGATTTTAGTGGAGAGGCTCAGAGCTACCAGAGATGGAACCCTGTAGTGAAGCTGTTGTGGCCTGAAATCCAGGCAGCCATGCTCCAGAGTAGCTCTCTGGTCTAACCCTGGACCCTCTCACCCCTTCTTGGTCCCTGAGTAGTCCTTTCTGCAGGAGAGCTCCCATCCTGGCCGCCTCTGACAGGAAAATTCTGACTGCTGGTGGCTACTTCTCTTTGGGTATTTCTGCTTTGTCTCAGCTTCCACCTCTCAAAGGTGTCACATAGAGCTCTGTTCATTAACCACATCCCAACTTCAGAGGTTCTTTGTTTCTGTGTGTGTCACAGTCCTTGTGTGTTCTAGGTCATTAACATTTCCCCCAGCTTTTTATCATGATGGTTTCAAACACAAAGCAAGGTGAAGGAACTGTATAATGTACACTGTAAACCCCCCACCTAGATTCCGCAATTACTGTTCTGCTATGTCTGCTTTACCACATGTTGCCCATCTATCTGTCCATTGCTCACATCATTTCTTAGACGCATTTTAAAGTGAATTTGTGTCACTGGCATCCATTGGGCCCCATCTTCTAAAGCACTCAGCCAGGGGCTGACTTTTGTAGAAGTAAACTGTGCTTGTGCTGCCCAGTCTGAATTTTTGAGACTCAAGGAGTAAATGGATGCCCCCCGGTCAGAACAGGAATGCTCTTGCCTTTGGGGAGGTAGATTCCTCCTCAGGTGGTAGCTGAGCACCCAGAGAACTGAGGACTCAGGGCTGATGGTTCTCATGCAGGAGGAAAAGCTTTTGATCTCTCTCCCCCCCCACCCCCCATAAAGCATTTGTCTCTTCTATAGAAAACCTTCACAAAAGCGCCATTGACTTACTTAATAATTGCCTTCTAAAAATAAGCACAATTTCAGCAGCTTTAGTCAGGGAAGGCAAGTTCTTGGCAACAGTGAAGTGGAATTAAAAGGTTGTAAGGTGAGTTGGAGGCAGCCCTGGGTAATTCTGACTGTGGTTCATGCTTCTTGAATCTTGCTAATCCCATTGTTCACAACTGTAACTCTGCTTATAGCTCTGAAGGAGGTGAAAGGAAAGAGAGCCGAGTTTTTTTCCTTTTTAATAGGAATGTGTACCACAACCCCAGGGAAAAGTGTGAGCTGGGCTGCCTGCTGTCCTAGGCTGTGGAACCTGAGAACCACGGGGTTAGCTTTTCTACCTCATTTGAATCAGATTTTGACAGAGTTGCTTTGTTACCTAGTTTTCAGTGCATAGTCCTCCTCCCTGATAATCAGGCAGCCAATCAAACAAAGGATCTGAAACCACATTCAACTGGAAGCAAAAGAGAAATGGCTTGGAAACTTTGTGCACTGGAGTTCCTCTTCCCATTGGCGAAGGAAACTGAGAGGTGCTATTATGTTTCTGGGAGACTTGGGTGTGGTTACCTGGGCTCTGATGTCCTGACTCGGCCACCAGGGATCTGCAGCATCGTGAAGGCAGCCAGGCTCACAGGGTGACTCACACCTCAGCCTGGGTCACAGCTTGGGCAGGGCTCTTCCAAGGACTCTTGGAAAAAAATAAATGTGTTCCCATGGGAGTTCTGTTGGGTTCTAGATCAGTGATTCCTCGTGTCTGGGTGGAAAGTATGGCACATAGGAAATTTTAGGTTGAAATTTAGGATCTTCCATTGTGCTCCTGGGTCAACTGACCCGCCCACCATTAATAGAAGACAAACATGTTTGGGGCTATTCAGGTGCATTTGAGAATTCACACCTGTCCTGCTTTCTTTTCCCTCAGCATCTGTGATCCAGAGTTGACTGTGACAGAAAGTGATTAGTCCAACACTCCTTTGCATAAGCTTAGAATCTTTCAGTGGATAATCTATTTTTTTTAGCATTATTTTAGTAGACATTTCCTGAGGAGTCTGTACCCCTGAATGAATCTTAGTTTCTCACTGTCTCAAAAGAAAGCAGTGTTGTATCTATCTTACAGTGCCTTTGCACAAAATGGATACTCAGTAAGTGCTCTGAATTGATTGTAGATTTAATTCTCCACTTTCTTAAAGGAATTCAGTAATTTAAAAGGGCAAAACATTTGTTCATTGTAGAAAATTTATAAACCCTAGAAAAGCACGGAGAAGAAACTATCATGCAACCAAAATCCCTGATTGTCTTCCTACATAGACTAGAAATAGCTTTTGATGACACTTTGGATGTTCTGGTTTTGTGTGAGTTACACAAACATTTTTTTATGTCTATAAGAGTGGGATTATGTTCTGTCCTTCTTTTTAATCGTGTTGTGCTTTGTTCTGTGACCTTATGCTCCCGGATATGTCATCGCGGCTGGGTGACTTTGGAGGCAGGAAGCTTACAGGGATGTCTTTCTGCTTGGCCATGTCTCGTCAGCTTCTGAGGTGTGGTTTCCGTGTCCCTCCTGTTTCCAGTCCTTCCTTTGCCACTTTGCCTAGGAATTGCTTCCTCCTCTGAGCACCTGTAGTGATGTCTCTTCTCCTCATTCAACTGTTCGGTTCCTGCCTTGTTTCAGAGGAGAATTTAAGGTGCCTTGCCTTGTTGAGTGTTTTGTCTCCCCAAGCAGAGTGTGAGTGTGTGTGTGTGTGTGTGTGTGTGTGTGTTTCCTCCTGTGTCTAGTTTTTTCTATCCCTAGTTTCTCACATATCCCTATACCTTTCACAGAGGTGGTTAATAAATGATAGATGATACTGGTAACTGCTCAGTGTAGATGAGATACTCTAAAAATCAGTCTGAATTTGCACGAATTGTCTCTACTTCTGAGGATGATTTTAAATTGCGACTGATAATTGGCAGCTGGAAGCCATGGCCTATGAATGTAGCCGTGCCTCGCTACGTCAGGGTTCCTTGAGTGAAGCTTTTCTTCACGATCTCAGGTTACAGTGTAGAATCCACGAATGAGAAGGCCATGGTGTGTGAGCCCCACAGAGGCTGGCTTCATATCCCACGTGTGTCGTGTGTTGCATTCTCCCTTTCTGCCGTGTACCTCCCCCTTTCCAGGTATAGAAGTCATACTCCTTTTTTGAGTAAGACATAAACTCAAATGCCATCTTTTAAGTGAAGTCAGAATTTCTTCTCTCTTCTGCATGTGTACCGTTTTCTTAAACCTATATCCTGTTTCGTTATATTCAGAGTCTGTATATTTACCCTACTAGTTTGTACATTTAACAAGGACAAGAAGTAGTTCTTTGTATCTTTATCTTCCATAGAACCTAACACTGTTCACGGCACTTGGTAGGATTTGTGGAAGGAATTGTTGCTTTCTATGACGTTTTTCTTTCGATTAGCTGTGAGTTTTTAGGATAATCTCCAATACAAGTTGTGACATACGCTGATGATCAAATGGCTAACATTTATCGAGCACTTACTGTGGGCTAGATGTTGTTCTGAGACCTTTGTATGTACCAGCTTGTTTAATACTTATAATAGCCCTATGATTATTTTAATAGCTTTAAGATATCATCCCCGTTTTACAAGTTGTGAGTAACCTGGTCAGAGTTCTCCTGATAGGAAGCAACAGAGTTGGTGAATTTAGACAGTTTGCCTCTAGAGCCTCTGGTCCCAACCATACATTGTTCTGTCAGTTCAGTGCAAACCTTTTTAAGATTTTATTTTTAAGTAATCTCTACACCCAGTATGGGGCTTGAACTCACAACCCTGAGATCAGGAATCACATATTCCACTGACTGAGCCAGCCAAGTGCCCCAGTGCAAGTCTTTTTTTTTTTTTTTTTGATCCCTGAATTAGTCCTTGGTTTAATGATTATTCACGATTTGAGTTTCTAGTTATTTGATAGCTCCCACAATGCTGTACATTTCTGTCTTTGAGGTCTGGAACAAACCAAAGGGTACCCTTCCAGGAGGATTTGCCACATGTGGCATTCACTTTCCTGCCGAAGTTTAACACTTGAAAGGATAGTTAAAAACGCTGTCACTAAATGGGTTGGTGTTCTTGTTCTTAGGATGGGGGTTCCTTGGATCAAGTCCTGAAGAAAGCTGGAAGAATTCCTGAACAAATTTTAGGAAAAGTTAGCATTGCTGTGAGTATATTGTATAATTTTTCTTCCAAATTCCCTCATTGATAAGTTAATGAGTTGGCAGGAAATGGACAAGGGAGGAAGATAGTAAGTTAGCTAAGGGAAGTTTGTAAGGAAAGTGGGGTTTTCTCACTAGAATTTTCTCTGTCTAAATCCTAGATACAACATACTCTCTCTCTCTGTCTGTCTCTGTCTCCAGAACTAGAAAAGCGACTTCCTTTATCTTAAAATCTGTATCTGGAGAAATAGATGGGATATCCAAAAGAATTCCCATTTGTGGCAGGAGAAGGCCTCTTTTTATATTTGTAGCTTTAGAAAAAAAACGAATCCAAGCACGTTTTCTTTTTTCTTTTTCTTTCCTTTTTCTTTTTCTTTTCCTTTTCTTTTTCTTCTTTCTTTGTTTCTTTCTCTCCCTTCCTTCCTTCCTATATAAGTTTATTTACTTTGAGAGCATGCACGTGCGCGAGAGGGACAGGGGCAGAGAGAGAGAGGGAGAGAGGGAGAGAGAGAGAGAGAGAGAGAGAGGGAAAGAATCAATCCCAAGCAGTCTGTGTGCACTGTCAGCACAGAGTCTGACATGGGCTCAATCTCATGAACCGTGAGATCATGACCTGAGCCAAAATCAAGAGTCAGATGCTCAACCGACTGAACCATCCAGGAGCCCCAAGCACAGGGGTTTGTAAAGTTGTATAAACTTGCAATAATCAACATTGCTTAAAAATAACTATATATCATCTAAAAAGATGCTTTCTTGATATGACAGGTTGGAAATCAAATAAAAAATAAGGGAAGATGGCAATTTTGCGATGTTAGTTGAAATATTTTCTATATCATTTTAAAATAGAGAGGCTGACTGTATTTTAACCACCCCCACTTCAGTTTCCCATCTTGTTACATTGTCTTTCCTCCAGGTAATAAAAGGTCTGACATACCTGAGGGAGAAGCACAAGATTATGCACAGAGGTAAGAAATTACTTGCTAGTTAGTATGCTTTAAATTTGAGCTGAAATCAAAAGTTGTTGCATCCTCTTGTGTGTTTTGTTGTGGTGTAAAAGCCATTGAATAGTATTTTTAATTTTTATTAACAAGTCTTTGACTATTATTTATTTATTTAAAAAAAATTTTTTTTTTAACGTTTATTTATTTTTGAGACAGAGAGAGACAGAGCATGAACGGGGGAGGGTCAGAGAGAGAGGGAGACACAGAATCCCAAACAGGCTCCAGGCTCTGAGCTGTCAGCACAGAGCCTGACGCGGGGCTCGAACTCAAGGACCATGAGATCATGACCTAAGCCGAAGTCGGTCGCCCAACCGACTGAGCCACCCAGGCGCCCCGACTATTAGTTATTTTTGAAGTAATCTTTACATCTAAGGTGGGGCTTGAACTCGTGACCCTGAGATCAAGAGTCCCATACTGTACTAACTGAAGCCAGTCAGGCGCACCAGGTCTTTGACTAGTGAGTTTGATGGCTAGGGCAGCAAGTTCCCCCTCTTGTTTTGGTCTGGCCTGTTACAGGTTACACCTGTTAGCTGAGGCTGTGACAGCCATGGTCACCCAGTAAGCCCAGGCCGGAGCCCCAATGGGAGCTTAGTTACCCAATCGCCAGTGTCACCATCCTCCCACTGGACTAGACAGTGCATAGACCCAAAGCCATGACTGACTGGATGTGAGTTTGACTATAAAAGAAACTGATTTTTTTTTTTTTAAAGAAAGGTACATACACACTTACTGTATGATAATACACTCTTAGATGTGTATCCAAGATAAATGAAACACATATGTCCATACAGATTCCTATACACATGTTGAAAGCAACTGTATACATGGTAGAAAAAACCAAAATGTTCTTCAATCAGCAAAGAGAGAAATTACAGTCTATTCCTGTAACAGTGTACTATTCACCGGTGAAAAGGAACAGGCTACTGATGCTAAATCTCAAAATACATTTATGTTGCGTGAAAGAAGCCTGATACACAACAGTACAAACTGTTTCCGTTTATATAAAATTATGGAGAAAACAACAACGGATCTGTAGTGACAGAAAGTCTAGGGAGAAATGAACATCAAAAGCATGAGGGTACTTTTGGGGGGTGGTTGGAAACGTTCTGTCTTGAGGTGGTAGATGGCTGGATTTATCCAACGTCAAACCTTCGGCTACAGTGGCTGTGACCACTTGCACCACTTCGCATGTAAATTACATATAAATTATACCTCAATCAAGCTTGTTAGGAAAAAGAAAAAGATGAAGAAGCCAGAGGACAGAAGAATGGAAGACACAGTGCTGTGGATCGCGTTGCAGTGTGCTAAGGGTGTCAAGTTCAAGGAGGGGGAGGGCTGAGGAGGAGCGGGGTGGGCTGATGGAATCCGCCCACGGCTTAGGAGCAAAGGTAGATTAGGTGAAAAATCCTGAGATTGGAATTGCTTTTAAAAAAACTGTAAAATGTTGGGCGCCTGGGTGGCGCAGTCGGTTAAGCGTCCGACTTCAGCCAGGTCACGATCTCGCGGTCCGTGAGTTCGAGCCCCGCGTCGGGCTCTGGGCTGATGGCTCAGAGCCTGGAGCCTGTTTCTGATTCTGTGTCTCCCTCTCTCTCTGCCCCTCGCCCGTTCATGCTCTGTCTCTCTCTGTCCTAAAAATAAATAAACATTGAAAAAAAAAAAAAAA